CTGAAGGATATCCTAGGAAATTTTAATAGCATTCGGTTGGAAAGAGCATAAATATTATGTAGCATTAAGAAAAATGTAATGAAAGTATCTCTCTTCAATGATGTATTCCATGATAGTCCAAAGATTCTTCTATGTGTTGTGCATCATTAATAAAAATCTAAGAAGTATTCAAAGATATACTCCAGGATAGCCATATAGTAAAACCCCTCTTGTTAAGAGGATATCTCCCTAGAAGCCAATGAAACAGTTAGACAAAATGCACCATCTAAAACTTTTCCTGACCCCTTGTGCTTCAATAGGCAAGGCATTTTCCAATAAGGGATATAGAACATAACATACGAAAATTTTCAAGAAGTTATAAAGAAATATATACCAAAACTTTTTCCACCAATTGCCAACCTTATGGGCCACCTGTGTAATTTTCTTGGAATGCCAAGTAAGCTCTCTACAAGATCGAAGTTGAATAGTTAGCAATAATCCAACCCTACCTTTTAGTGGCACATAATCCATGTAGTAGAAAGAACAAACCTCTATGTGGTCCACCCAATGCAGATGTCAAAATCATAGGCTACTTTTGGAACGATGGGACCTAAGTTGTTAAGATTTTATTGCAGGTTACACAATCCCAAAATAGGAAAGAATTGTGGGATTTTTAAAGAATAAACCACTCACTCTAGTTGATTTTGGACTATACTTTTTGTATATCCATGATTATGCGACTAATGAGTTTCAACATTGAGTAGGGTCACTTATTTCAAATTATGGTGGTGGCTGATTTTAGGTCATGTTGGGTAAGTGGAGTGTATCAAGCTAAATGTTTTTGAACTTTAATTGTAGCAATTGGAGCTACTACTGAACCAGAGCTGTCAATGACTCTCTAGTATTTGTCCTTTCTTATGTGTTTCAAAGGATCTAGCGTGATGGTGTAATATGAAATGTAATATGAGATTGCTCTAATTTTTTTTATGAAGTGTGAACCTTACCTAGGAAGAATAAAGGAAGCTGAAAGCATTAGATTCTCTTTGTATGCCCAATTAGCTAACAAGTATTATCCTGGAACATCCTTAAAGAATAGTAGGCTATTAAATGATAACACGATTTAAGATGATCTATGAATATAACCCACCGAGTTTATTCCTCTTATTGCTAGGAACACTTAAATACAATCTAGGCTTGTGTGCTAAAGAGATACAAGTTTAAACGAAATTGGCAAGAAGTGGATGTATTAAGAAGCAAGAAAATAGCTACATGAGGGACAATTGATATGGTTTTAATCCTATATTTGTTTTCAACTTGTAATTTAATCGATCCAGAGTAAACTTGCAAAAGACATAGTTAAGAATTTTACCTCGGATCAGAGTGGTACTGTTCTTCCACGCTACCTACTTGCAAGAACTTCTCTCTTAAATCACATGCAATCATGCAAATTAGCAATCTTTGAAGAATGAGCCATCAAGCTGAATGCATCTCTATGTGCATCTAATGGCTCACAATGCTCGTTTAGGTTCCAACCAAGATTCAATATCTCAAATGAAAAAGTCATTCTTGCTGCTGCATTGTGTAGTTACAAACTCCCATGAGAAAATGAGTGTAAAGATATCAAAACCCAGGAAAATAAGGAAAGTGGTCTAGGGTAGAGAGATGCGCTGATCATGTCTAGATCCATGTATCTTTTGATATCATTAGCAGTATATTGGACTGTTGGCTAGTATTTCTTTGAATGCACAACAATACAAAGTCCGTGAAGCATATTAATCATTGATATATAGCGGTCTTGCTCTCACATTAGTGTAGACTGTGCAAAAAACTATTATATTATCCCACAATAACGTTCTCGACCATAGGGAAGGAGGCAAAGCAACATAATCTGATTCTAGCATTTGTTATGTAGTTGAATATTGCTGAGGGCTTTAGATCCTTAGAGAATGTTTGAAAAAAGTTCTTGTACTTTCACAAGAGACATACATAAGAAAAGTCTTTGAACGGCTTGGGATGCACAACTCAAATTTCATAGACACCTGAGTCATAAAGAATAGTGACCTTAGCCAAGAATGTTGCCCATTAACAGATGAGCAGAGGAAATAGATGGCGATATTTGAATATTGTTGATAATTTGATGTTTGCTACATTATGCACTTGTCACGACATCTCATAATATCAATGGACTGCTGAATCAATATCAATCTAACCCAAGGCCAGCTCACTGGCAAGCCGTAAATAGTGTTATGTAGACTTGAAATGCTCCAAAACTTGTTGCTAAGCCATGGACGATCTGATTTGCGGCTCAAAGGATGCATTGATGCATAATGGGATGACAACTTTGATGAGTGCATATTGACATCTTGTTTTGATGTAAAAGTCATCTCCTGGTGCAATAAGAAACAGATAATCGCTGCACTATCTTCCATGAAAGGTGGATACAAGGTTGTCATGCAGGAGGCAATCTATTAGAATGACTTCTCCAAGACATACTGTTAACCTTACATGTTGATAATCTATAGTAGTATACTGTGGCAATAGGTCGGCAATCATATTGTTAGAAAATGGAAAATCAAGTTCATTGCGTAAGTAACAGATATTAGGAGGTGGTCTTCGAGTATACGTCCACGGAGCGCGTATAGCAGATTTGTTGACGAAGCCCCTTCACGTAGGTGGTGTCGTGGTGATATTCTATATGTTCATATGATTATGAGATATATTTGATATTTAGTGGCATTTATTACATACCATTAATTGTGTCATCCTTTGTTTGGTTGTACTTTATGCGATAGATTGGTGCACAAATTTATAAAGCTATATCAAGCAGAGACAATCATACTTACATGAGCAATCATCTTTGGCACAATTTGGAAAATAAATAAAAATTATATGATGAAGACCATGTTTTCTAGTGACGCAACAACAAGCAGTCATGGACCAGTTGTAAACATCACCTCAATTTGAATCGAGATGAGATCTTTAAATATTGCATCCAATTATGATTGAAATGGTGGATTCATACATCCACCCTAACTGTCCATAGCTAGGTGTTGTGCCCATTCTGGGGAATCTATCAATGTGGTGAGCGAGTAGGAGGCACTAGGCTTGTGCTCTTAAGAGAGTGAACAAGTTGGTTTATACAACGTTGATGTATTGACTAAGGGGTACCCTTCCTTGGGGGAGTTTATCCACTATATCATATGACCGTACCATACATGCTTGAGGCGACTACTTAGAGGCTGGCAAATGAATCCATAGGTATTGTATGAGCCTAAAACTTTTGTGGGGCCACCTAGTTGTCTATTACTTATACCCTTAGTGGCATACAGGTCTATAGTAAATGTTAAAATGAAATTAAAAAAAGGGCT